TCTGTTAACAACTGCTTTGAACACCTCAGTTCACAGGTCTTGGGCCAGAACTGGAGATAAGGCAACAAAACACTGTCCCTCTGGGGACTGGAGTTACTGTAATTTGGGCGAGAGTCCTCTGTTCAAACTACTTAGTTGAGACCACTCCCCGGGTCCCACATTACTAAACCAGGGAGGGTGGATCCCTCACCTGCTCCTGGAATCTGGGCTTGCAGCTGGTCTGACATGGAAGAGAATGGCTTGCAAACCCAAAGCAGGCCCTGTGGGGTGGTGCAGCCTCAGTGAGAACAGGAATTGTCATCTAGGCTTTGTGTGTAAGCTGGAGCCTGGTTAGTGCTGAGTGACTGTCCTTCCTTTCTTCAAGGGTGTCAGAACTGAGTGATAGTGACCTTGGCCTTCAGGGGTAACATGAAGATCCTGGATACCCCTGTGGTGTGCAAGAACCATGAATCTCTGACATGGAAATTTCCAGCATAAGACCATTGTATTGATGAAATCCTAGTGGCTAGAGAAGGGCTTCTGTATCCAGTTGATCTCTCTGGGTCAAGTAGGGCTTCCTCTGGCTCTTACGAGGCTGAAGCTGGGAGGAGGCTGGACATATGGCAGCAGAGAAGAGAAGGAACTTTCCATCCATCCATCCATTCATCTAAGCATCCAACATCCACTCATTCATCTATCCAACCATCCATCTACTCAAGCCATCCATCCATCCATTATTCCATCTGTCCATCCATCCATCCATCTGTCCATCATGTATCCATTTATACATCCATCTATCCACCCAAGTATCCATCCATCCATCTACCCATCCATCCACAAACACTTCTGAAACATTTTTTGTGTCCCATGTACTAGACTCATCAGACACAAGGCAGACAAAAACCCCTATCCTGGGGAGCTAACAATATTATTAGGGGAAATACATGATAACTAAGTAGAATTCAAATTATGTTTGTTGGTAGAAAGTGGGAAGAAGGAGAAATAAGGCAGGGAGGGCAGGGAGATTATGGGAAGGGAGATGTCCTTCTACCCCTGAGCTTCTTAGCTGGAACAGAACTGATACAGGGCTGATGAAAAAGAGAAAAATATCCAAGTTTGATGAACTTAATATGTGTTCAGGGTCTTCATAGGCAGGTGAGGTCTGAAGGCATGACTGGAGCATGATGCTTTTATATTAGGCAAAGAATAATAAACAGCAAGGAATGATGGGATGGATGGAGGTCTGGAATAGGGCAGTAAATTGCAGTATTGTCACTAGGCAGTCTCTCAGGGCACACAAGAGCCAATGGAAGAGAATGTATTTATTCAGATTCACTGCAGCCACAATCGCCAATCTCTGGTGGTACAGGCTATTTTCCTGCCTTGAATATACAGACATTCATCCCAATTACATGCTGCTTTGTTTGTTTGTTTATGCCAGTCCTGGGGATTGAACTCAGAGTGTGGGTGCTGTCCCTAAGCCTCTTGGTGCTGAAGGCTAGTGCACTACCACTTTGAGCCACAATGCCAGTCCTGGCCTTTTCTGAGTGTTGTGGTTGTGATCAGAGATAAGAGTCTCACAGACTTTTCTGCCCAGGCTGGCTTCAAACCAGGATCCTCAGATCTCAGCCTCCTGAATAGCTAGGATTATAGGCACGAGCCTCTGGTATCCAGCTTTATTTTTATTTATTTCTATTTTTTATTTATTTTTTCATCCTGGAGATTGAAATCAGGGCCTCACATTTGCTAGGTGAGTGTCTACCACACAGCATGCAGACCATCTAATCTTTATGTCTTACTACATGTAGAGAAGGACAGCCACTTTCTGAAGCTACAGCTCTGTCTCATGCCAGCCACAATTTGGCATGTTCTGAGATGTGAGTCCTTAACGGTGTATAGGAAATGTGTGGATGTTGACATTTTTAAATTGGTCTTTGTTTAGAAGGTGCCTGGGGAAAAGCCTGCGGAAAGTGAGGAGTACTGGGTGCTCCCTGAAGGAAGGATGCTGCTGTCTGGGAACAGCTGGTGGAAGGGCATGCAGTGGACATGCTACAGACTGTGAAGAGGCCATGCTGGCAGGAGCCCCAGAGAGTGGTAGGAAGGTCAAGATGAGCTTCTCTGAGGAGCTGGACACTCAGATCCTGAAAGGGCACAGGAAGGAGTCCTCTGTGGGCCAGTGGAGGGCTTTGTGCAGAGATGAGATTTGCCTAAAGTTGAAACAGGATTCAGACCATTGTGGCTACTCTGTTGCCGACAGACTAGAGGGGACAGTTAGGAGGAGGCCTCTGTGGCAGTCCAGGTGAAGGGCAGCTATACCAACATGCTATGCCCACCAGGCTCCCCACCCAGGGCATGCCTGCCGGCACAGAGAAATTGAATTAGTGATGTGCCAGCTTCAGTTCTCAGACTGGAGCCAGTCTCAAACTGGCAAGGAACAGAGAAAGAGAACCAGGTACTGCTCCAGGCTTCCTGATCCAACATGTTTGGAGAAATCTTTACTTTTAGTATGGCTTCTAAAGTATTACTGGGCAGTCAGGGTTGGCCTTTTTCTTTAGTAACAGGAATGCTTTTGGTTGCAAGTAATACAAACTGACTAACAATGGCTTAACCAAATAGGGATTTATTTTTATTTACAAGAATAATTCTGCAGAAGCACAGCAGCTAGCATTGGCTTGAGCAAACAATAGGGTTTACATCTCTGTGATTCTCTTGGCCTTTTCCTCATGTAGCAAAATGGCTGCTGTGGTTGTAGCCATCCTATCCTCAAACAAGGCAAGAAGAGAGGGACAAGGAGACAGTATTGACTATGCCTCATTTGATCAGCAAAGCATAAGCTTTTCTAGAAGCCCCTGTTATACCTCTGCTTCAATCTCATTGGCCAATATCAGGTCACCTGGTCTCTTCAAGATGCAAAGAAGGCTAGAATGTGAGCGCCTAGATTTGTAGCCACTGGTATGGCGGTAACTAGAGAAGTGGAGTTGGGGGATGGTCACTGGGGAGTACACCCTAGTGTCTGTCCCAGCTCCCTGGATGACATGGGGCTTGAGGTTCCTTCTACCTCGGGGGTGTCATCACTACTTGTCACCTCTGTGGTGGGACAGGGCAGAACTTCAAGCATTCCCTTGAGTTTTCTCCTCTACCCCATCTGGTTGCTCTGCCTCATTTCTCTTCACCAGTCTGAGCAGCATGTAGACTTCTGAGATCCACTCCTTTGGGGAGCTAGTGGTCTGTTGAGGGGTCATGCATCTTTAGAGTGACCCTTACCCGGCAGATGTAAAACAGTGGCACCACATTCTCACCCAACAATCACATTAGGAGCCCCATAGAGTGCAAATTCTGTCTGTCTGTCTCTGTCTCTCTCTCACTCATGCACGCATGCACACACACACACACACACACACACACACACACACACACACACACACACACACACACACACACACACACACACACACACACACACACACACACACACACACACACACACACACACACACACAGGCAGCCTATCTGTATTGACACTAACATGCTGGACATTGTCCGGAGGGCATTGTCAGCCACGCTGAAGCCCACCAGGAAGAGTAGGCACAGGACCAGGTCCGTCTTTATCCTCCTGTTGGTCCCTCCTGTGCTTCCAGGAACCAGAGCTTCGCAGCTTCCTGTGGTTGGAGGAAGTAAAAGGAGGGGCTCCTCCCTCCCCCTACCCGCTCTGCTTTCCACCCTCAATGGAAGTCTTACAAAGCCTGAGGTGGGCTTTTTGGGAGAAAAGATTCAGGCCTGAAAAAGATTTGGGTGTGTTGCCCAGCAAGAAATCCCTTGAGGAAGAAGAATGGGTGGAGCTGGTCCATGGTAGATGGGGCTGCGTGGGCAGCGGGGCTCAGGTGCTGGAAGTTTGGACTTGTAAGAGGCCCGTTTGCATAACATGCAGTGGAGTCTTCAAACTATCATTTTCATTTGCAGAAGTGAATTCCAGTGCCACTGTATGTCTGCTTTCCAAAAGGCTGTAGAGAAGGCAAACATTTTGGTTTTTCTTTTTGGCTAGCATTGCATCATGGTGTGATCACACCAGTAAAAATGCAGATTGGCAATTATATACAACTCTGGTGCATACAACCATCACAAGAGCAACAGAATCAGATGTGCCTGGGGTGGGCTGGATAATGATGAATGAGGGGCTGCAGATTAGGAACCTTGAGGACAGAGGTGCCTGGGAAGAGAGGTGGATGATGGTTGGGGGTTGGGGGTTACTGGGGCTTGAACTCAGGGCCTGGGTATTGACCCTTAGCTTCTTTGCTCAAGGCTAGCACTAGACTAGCTCAAGGCTGCCACTTGAGCCATAGCTCCACTCCTGCCTTTTTTTTTTGCTGCTGAATTGGAGATAAGAGTTTCATGGACTTTTCTGTCCCGGCTGGCTTTGAACTGCAATCCTTAGATCTCAGCTTCCTAAGTAGTTAGGATTATGGATGATGTGGATGATGTCTTGCTGTGCACCACCCCAGATACTGAAGCCCTGCTCCTTGGGTCTTACCTGGAGCTTGCTAGATGGGACTCCCCCACATTCCTGTGCTCAATGAAGTTGGTCAAGTGTTGTCCTAAACGTGTGGGGGGCGGAGGAGAGTGGAAACACGCAGCTCTGGCTAGGTTTGTGTGTGTGCTCGGTCTAGCTGGAGAGGGCTGTGAGAGGAGTAGAAGTATGGGCCTGGGAGTTTGGCTGCTGGGAGACACAGGGCCCGTGGGCCTTGAAAGGTTCCTGATAGGAAGGCCAAAGAGGCTCCTCTTCTTCAGGCCCTGAGTCAGGGACGTTCCATGGAGCACGCTCTCCTGGCAATGGCCTCCACTTGGGATGGCAGGGAGGGATCCGCACTCAGAAGTCCAAATCCAAGCCGGAACTCAGGGCTCCACAGCAATCCCTGTTTGGGGCCTGTCTGCTTGGAGCTTAGGGGTGTTCCCCAGCTTTCTGTGGGGGAGGACCACACATTTCTAAGGGGGCAGAATCACACTGCTGATGGCTGGGGGGGTGAGGGGGGTCTGCCAGGTACAGGGGGCTGGAGGCGGAGGAGGAGGGGGGAAGGGTACGGCCTGGGCCTGCAGCCAAACAGCTGTCTACAGCGCTCTGTCTTCAGGGCTCAGCGTGGCAATTCTGCGAAGGTTTTCGCGAACTTTGATAAACTCCGGGGCATGGTCCTCTTCCTTTTCTGGTTTTTTTTCCAGCTGAAGGAGAGAAGCAGAGGTGTGACGTGCGCTGCAGGGGAGGTGGTGGAGGATTCCTCTTTCCAGAAGCCATGGGTCCTCTCACCCGAGGGGCCTCTCAGGGGTTCAAGGTCCCCACCTCTAAAAGGAAGGTCACCCGGCTCCCAGGGCACTTGTGGTGACCCTAGGTAGCTTGCAGGATGCACCCACAGTCACCCTATAGGTCAGTGTGTGCGTGGCGTGCGCACGCAAGAGTCCCGTCCCAGGTCCTCTCTGCCCACTGTCTTTCTGGGGCCCAGGGGGAGGCTCGCGTGGGTCCCCAGTGCTCCCCCACCTGGTTGAGCCTCTGCTGCCGCCTGAGCAGCTCCTGCTCGAAGGGACACTGCAGCCGCTTGGCCTCCAGCTCCTCCTTCTTCTTCTTCACCAGCTGGTTTCTCCGGCGGTGCTCCAGCACGCGCTGCAGCTCCGGCTTGCTGTCCACGCCAATGCCCCTGCGTGTGCGCGAGCAGTCAGGAGACCCCACTCCTCACCACCCCCCTCGCCAGCTCAGGGTGACCCGAACTCCGCCCTCATGGCCTCTAAGCTTCTGGGAAGCCCCAGAACGGGGATCCATCCCTGACCAGCTTTCCCAAGGCCAGTAAGGCTGCGAGAGCTCAAGATCCCAGCGCCAGCGGCGGCTGCAATAGGGGAGGGAGAGCATCTGGACCCAGGTTTGACCGCAGAGATCAGCTTTGACTGCATTTCTGAATGCTTTCTACAGAGGGAACTGCTGGGCTGGAGTCTTTGAATAAGGTTACGCAGCCCACTGCTCTTAAGACCTCTCTTTCTCCCTGTCACCATCACAGAGTCTGGCAGGTAACAAATAATATCCGTTTTCAGGTGTTTCCTTAATTAGTAGTTACAGGGAACAGTAGTTGACATATTTAGCAGTCATTTGCATTTCTCTCTTGTGAATGTACTATGCCTCCCCCCCCCCCCAACTTCCACCCCTCCCCAATCCTGGGGCTTCAACTCCAGCCCTGAGTGCTGTCCTGGGCTTCTTTTGTTCAAACCTAGTGCTCTACCACTTGAGCCACAGTGCCACTCCCAGTTTTCCCAGTGGTTAGAGATAAGAGTCTCAAGGACTTTCCTGCCTGGGCTGGCTTCAAACTATAGTCCTTAGATTTCAGCCTCCTGAGTAGCTAGGATTACAGGTGGGAGCCACTGGTACCCAGCACTCTGCCTATTTTAAATCTTTTCTTTACTGGTTAAGAGATAAGAATACATTTTAGTCTCTCTCTTTCTCTCTCTCTCTCTGTATGTATATATATATATATATATATATATATATGTATATCCTTGAATATCTCTTAGATTACAAAATTTCCCCTGGTTTATCTTAATGCTATTGCTTTTTAGTGTGATGATATATTTGGATGTTAAAAGGGGCAATCATTATAAAAGACAATCAGAGAAAAATGATCATATTAAGGTACTATGTGAAAACAAAATTCCAAACAGTCCAGTGTTGGAAAGATTATGTGTAAGAATAGGCTCATGAACGGCCAATAGACACATGAAGAAATGCTCAACTTCTCTAGAGAAACGCATAAAAGAAATGCAAATCAAAACAACAGTGAGATTCTACCTCACACCAATTAGAATGGCTATAATCAAGAAATCTAATAACAGATGCTAGAGGGGATGTGGCCAAAAGGGAATCCTACTGCATTGTTGGTGGGAGTGTAAACTTGTTCAACTACTTTGGAAAGCAGTATGGAGGTTCCTCAAGAGACTCCACATAGAGCTTCCCCATGGCCCAGCAATCCCACTTTTGGGCATTTACCCAAAGGATCACAAGGCCATACTAACGCTACCAGCACAACTATGTTTATTGCAGCATTATTTACCATAGCTAACATAGGGAACCAACCCAGATGCTTCTCAGCAGATGAATGGATCAAGAAAATGTGGTATATATATATATATATATATATATATATACACACACACACAATGGAATTCTATGCCTCCGTCAGAAAGAATGACACCACCACATTTGTTAGGAAATGGAAAGACTTGGAAAAAATTATATTATGTGAAATAAGCCAGATTCAAAGAAACATAGTTCTCATGATTTTCCTTATTTGCAATAACTAGTATATGTTTAGGACAAGCAGAAAAGGTCAGAAGCTACATATGACCATATAAGATGATGTTAAGCGAAATGAACCCCAAGATAGGGACACAGTGGTTTTTTTCTTAGTATTGTGTTTAACATATTTATAATATACTAGATGATTTTTTTTGTTTCTTTGGTATGTCCCTCCCCCACAGTACAACCCCTGTTTTTTACTGTATTTGATTCTGATGCCCTGCATCTCGTATATACATTTTTCTAGTTTGGGAAGGGGAAGGGAACAACAAAATGCTAAAATAGGGATACAGGTTGACCCATTGTAACAACGAGATGTACAAAACACTATGTTGAAAATGAACTTTACAACTTCAGACACAGGGATGGGGGTAGGGGGAGGGAAGAGTTGGGGAGGTGGGGAGGGAAAGGATGGTGGGGGTAAAACAAAGGAGGGAGTAACAATACTCCATAGGAAATGTACTCATGACCTTACTCATGTAACTGTAACCCCTCTGTATAGTATCTTTACGTTAAAAATATGTATTAAAAAAATAGGCTCATTTACCCCCAACAACAAATCCTCAAAGAAACAACTGCCCGATTAATAAGTAGGCTAAAGACTTCTCTGAAGAGGAAATAAGAATGGCAAATAGACACATGAAGAAATGCTTAACTTCTCTAGCCATAAAAGAAATGCAAATCAAAACAATAGTGAGATTCCACTTCACCCCAGTTAGAATGGCTATAATAAGAACTCTAATAACAACAGATGCTGAAGGAGATGTGGCCAAAAGGGAATACTACTGCATTGTTGGTGGGAGTGTAAACTTGTTCCACCACTTTGGAAAGCAGTATGGAGATTCCTCAAGACTCCACATAGAGCTCCCCTATGACCCAGCAATCCCACTTTTAGATATTTACCCAAAGGATCACAAACTAGGCCATACTAATGCTACTAGGACAATAAACTATGTTTATTGCAGCATTATTCACCATATGGAACCAACCCAGATGCCCCTTAGTAGATGAATGGATCAAGAAAATGTTATATATATATGTATGTATATATATATATATATATATGTAATATATAAACTTGCTCATGTAACTGTAACCCCTCTGTACAGTATCTTTACAATGAAAAAATATATTAAAAAAAGAATAGTCTCATTTACACAGATGCAAATGAGACTAGAAATCACAAGCAGTGCCAATACCAGAATCTGCCAGCAGAGGGAGCTATGAAGGCACTTTTGCCTTCTTGCTGTCACTGGTAAGCAGGGTGGCACTGCCCAGACTGTGGAAGGGAGACACAACTTCATATTCTGCCCATTGTTACCTCCCAGCTGTCCCTCAAGATCCATGTCTCTTATGCATTCTCCCCTGCATTGGCGCTCTCCACTCCGTGCTGTGAGCAGCCACCTCAGCTAGAGGGGCCTTTTGGGGGATACTGATCAGACCTTACACCCCTGTTTTTTTGAGGATTAAGGTTTGAGGCAGGGTCTTGCGCTTGCTAGACAGGTGCTCTCTTTCTTGAGCTGCACCTCTAGCCCTTTTTACTGTAGTTATTTTTCAGATTGTCTTTACTTTTTGCTGGACCCTGCCTTGGACTGTAAACTTTCTACCCATGTCCCCCGAGTAGCTGGAGTTAAAGGTATGCCATCACATCCAGTGTGTTGAGATGGGACCTGGCTAACTGTTTTGCCTGGCTGGCCTTGCGATGTGATCTTCCTCATTTCCCCCTCCTGAGTCGCTGAGATTAGAAGTGTGCGTCTCCATGGTGGACCCACGTATTTCTTCTCAGACTCTTCCCCAATCTATCCCTACTCCTCTAGCCCGCTCCTTACACTTTCTCACCAGCCACCCGGAGCAACTTGTACTCTCCTGCCATTTGTGGGTGCTGTTACCCTGCTGCTCAATGCCCACCTCCCTGCCTGGCTGGTTCCTATTCCATTCAGCTGAGATATTGCCTCTTCTGAGAAGTGATCTTGGGCCTTCCCAGATCCCTCCTGCAGTGGGGGTCTTAGGCCCATTTATGCTCCTAGCAAGGTACCCCTCCTTCTCCTCCTCATCCCCCTCCTCCCCTCTCTCCCCCCCTCCTCCCCCTTCTTCTCCTCCTCCTCCTTCTTCTTCTTTGGTTGGTCATGGGGTTTGAACTCTGGGCCTGGGCGCTGTCCCTGAGCTCTTCAGCTCAAGGCTAGCAGTGCTCTACCATTTGAGCCACAGAGCCACTTCCAGTTTTCTGGTGGTTTATTGGAGATAAGAGTCTCATGGGGGGCTGGGAAGGTGGCTTAGTGGTAGAGTGCTTGCCTTGTATGCATGAGGCCCTGGGTTCGATTCCTTAGCACCACAAAAGCAGAAAAAGCTGGAAGTGGCACTGTGGCTCAAGTGGTAGAGTGTTCACCTTGAGTTGAAGAGCTGAGGGACAGCGCCCAGGCCTGGAGTTCAGGCCCCACGACCAGCCAAAAAAAAAAAAGAGTCTCATGGAGGGTTGGGAATGTGGCTTAGTGGTAGAGTGCTTGCCTAGCATGCATGAAGCTCTGGGTTTGTTTCCTCAATACCACATACACAGAAAAAGGTGGAAGGGGCACTGTGTCTCAAGTGGTAGAGTGCTAGCCTTGAACAAAAGAAATTCAAGGACAGTGCCCAGGTCCTGAATTCAAGTGCCAGGACTGGAAAAGAAAAAGAAAAAAGAAAAAAAGAGCCTCGCATACTTTCCTGTCTGGGCTGGCTTTGAACTGTGATCCTCAGATCTCAGCCTCCTGAGTAGCCAGGATTATGGGCTTGAGCCACCAGTGCCCAGAGCTATTATTTTCTTTTTTTTTGCACCATCTTCTTTTCCCTCCCTCCCTCCCTCCCTCCCTCCCTTTCTCTCTCTCTCTCTCTCTCTTTCTTTCTTTCTTTCTCTCTCTCTCTCTCTTTCTTTCTCTCTCTCTTTCTCTCTCTCTCTCTCTCTCTCTCTCTCTTTCTTTCTTTCTTTTTTTGAGGTCTGAAACCAGGACTTGAACGTGGTACCTTCTGCTTTCACTCATTGGCTAGCACCCTACCAAATGAACCATGCCTCTAACACCACAAGGTCCCCATTTTACTGTTGGACGAAGGGCCTGTCTTCCTCCCTGAGGGCCCCTTTTTTTGTTATCTAGGTGTGTGCACACAGTAGGTGCTTGGTAAATGCATCTGGAGTGCAGTGAGTGTCTGGGAGGAGAATGGGGCTGCAGGGGCCTCAGGTTCTCAGGGGCCCCCACAGGATGGGCCCTCACGGATTGTGCTGGTGACCACATTTGGGTCATCCACTCCCCTGCAGAACCTGCCTGTCCTCCATGAAGGGACTCTCCCAGTCCCAGGGGCCTGCAGAGTGTTGGGGAGGGGGGGTGGGAGGCAGAAATCCTACCTTCTGTGGTTCATCAGCAGCTCTCGATGCAGCTCCTGGTGACTCCGGGAGGCCTTCACGGGATTCAGCAGCTTCTTGGGCTTGATGAGCTCTGGGTTCCACTCTCTGTACTCTGGCCGGGCCATGAGACCCCCGATGTCTGCTCGTTCCCTCTGGATCTCTGAGTACATGGAGGCTGTGGAGATGGGCAGAGGAGATGGTCAGGGCTAGCCCATGCCCCCTCCTGCTCATTCAGACCAGTTAAGGTGCAAGGTCTTCATGTCATATAGGTCTGTGCTAATGGAGACTATGTAATTCCCCGGGAAGCTGCCTGGCTTTCTGAGCTTTTTTGGTTACTCATCTGGCAGGTGGAACTAGTCATTGAACCTTTGCACAGGGTGGTAATAAGTACTAGAGGGGATGTTTATAAAATATTGGGGGTACACAAAGGAAATGGTACTGGATCTGAGCCAGGCATGGTGGTGCATGCCTGTAATCCCAGCTGTGCACAAGGTAGAGGTAGGTTTGCAGACTGAGGTTGTCCTAGACAAAAAGTGTGGGGCACTATCTAAAAATTAAGTGAAGGGGATAAAAAGGACTGGAATATATGGTTGAAGTGGTAGAGATCTGAGTTCAAACCTCATATTGTATGAGCAGGTGGAGGAGGAGGAATAAGTTGCATTGTGTAACAAATATGGGTTCATGCCTGTATATACTTTCGGCCTGACTTTGCAAAAAAATTTCCCCTACAACAACAGGGATTGTTGTATTGGAGTTTCCTTTTCCATGAGCTTGTTCCAGAAAAAGAAAGGCGAGTGGAGGTTCACACCTGTAATCTTAGTTACTCAGGAGGCTGAGATTTGCCGCTCCAGAGGTTCAAAGCCTGCCCGGCAGGAAAGTCCATGAGACTCTTATCTCCAATTAACCACAGGAAAACTGGAAGTGGAGCTGTGGCTTGAAGTGGTAGAGCACTTGAGCAAAAAAGCTCACAGACAGGGCCCAGGGCTGGAGTTCAAGCCCCAGAACCAGCACACCTGCACACACACACACACACACACACACACACACACACACACTCACACACACACTCACACAGAATATTTATTAAATACAATTTAAAAGAATGCACAGAAAGCCGGGCGCTGGTGGCTCACGCCTGTAATCCTAGCTACTCAGGAGGCTGAGATCTGAGGATCGCGGTTCAAAGCCAGCCCGGGCAGGAGAGACCTTGAGACTCCTATCTCCAATAAACCACCAGAAAACCAGAAGTGGCGCTGTAGCTCAAGTGGTAGAGCGCTAGCCTTGAGCTGAAGAGCTGAGGGACAGCGCCCAGGCCCAGAGTTCAAGCCCCACGACCGACCAAAAAAAAAAAAAAGAATGCACAGATTGAAGGGAAATATCACTTGCTCATGTCCAACACCTGGGCCACTGTTCCAAATGTGCTTGTGGAGGGGTCTGGCTCTTCAGCCTCTCTGTACAGCAAAGCAGAATGGGAGGTGCAGTCCCTACTGCCCTGTGGCAGGTGACAAAGAGAGGGGTGTGGTCTTTTATGCAAATGTTGTCTGGCTGTCCAGGCATGACTTCCACCAGAGCAGCTGGAAAGTTATCAGTGCAGTGGAAATTCTAGCAGGATGCGGCCCTGGGTCACAAACGGACTCCTTATTCCTGAAGTACTTGTATGTGTGTGTGAGAGGGGGGGGCGAGAGGGAGGATGCACAGGAACACGTTTCAATGGACGGGCCACTGTATCACGATTATTTACTCTGGAAGCCAGTTCTACCTCCTCCATGAGTGCTACTTTCCTGAGGCCAAGCATGGGCAGTGCCTGATCTGATCAACACTACCCATTTAATCAGTCTTGGTAATAAAACAGTTGAGGTTTTTGTCTTGGGGCCCCAGAGTCCTAAGGCTCATGGCTTCCATGTGGCAGCTGAGGGAAGGGTCCCCATAGCAGTCCCCAGGCTTCTGCATTCCCCCTCCCCCCCAGCATCAAGTTGCCTGTGGCCACCTTGTGTGTGTGTGGGGGGGGGGAAGGTGGAGGAAGCCAGCCAGCCTGATATAGTTAAGGGATGTACAGAATTTCAAGTCTTCCAAATCCTCAGGTAACTAGATGGAGATATGGTCTAGGAACAAACCTAGAAGTGGCCTATGCTCGCTGGGCTCAGCATGGGCTCACAGAGGACTGAGGGGTGCAGGGAGATGGTGAGCAAAGGTCAGGGACCATGTCTGGGGAATGTTGGTGCTGTATGGGGTCTGTGCTTGCCATTGCTGGCTCACCAGCAGTGGGCAGGGGCCTATTCTGGTATCCAGTCAGATCACCCTATATAAGTGCCAGAGAGTCTGGGAAGCCAATCGAGGGTCAGAATACAGAAACGTGACTGCTGTTTGCTTCTGGCATTAGCGTTCCCAGATCCATTTCTAGAATGTGGATTCTAAGCAACTTCTTTTCTTATCTTTTTTTTTATAAGGTTATTTGTTTTCATATTATACCTTTTCTAAATTTTTGTTTTGTTTTTTTTTGTGCCAATGCTGGAGCTTGAACTCAGGGCCTGGATGCTGTCCTTGGCTTTTTTGCTCAAGCCTGTTGTTCTACCACTTGAACCCGCAATTCTACTTCCGCCTATTTGGTAGTTAATTGGAGATAAGAATCACACAGGCTTTCCTGCCCAGGTTAGCTTTGAACTGTGATCCTCAGATCTCACCCTCCTGAGTAGCTAGGGAGAGGGTAAATAATAACAGAGCTTGCATGTTTCACCCTTGTCGACTTCCTAGCGTAGACTCACAGAGCAGAACTAAGCAAGCAAGGTACTTGTTCTATCAGAAAGAGCCAGCATCCCAGGCAGGCAGTTACCTACACCTGCACACATCCGTGAAATCAAACTGCTGAGGAAGAGAGCAGAAGGCTCTGTGTTGAGGGAATGACCCGCGTTAGCCAGGTGCAGGGGAGGGCTGGTGGCTGGAGGTGACATTTACTAGGGGAAGGCGGCCTGGGGGCCAGCCTGTGGGACTCACGCACCTTAACAAGTGGAGTCTGTTCAGGGAACACAAAGGCGCAGTGTGCCTGGCCTGCGGCGGGCCAGCCAGCAGCGTTCTGTTCCCAGTGAGGGTGGACGGGTGGGTTCAAGCTGGGCAAAGGGCGAGTCTGAGTGGATTTTGAAAAGGTCATTCTGGCTGCTGTGTTTGGACAACGGTCAGCAGGTTTGGGGGAATTTTATTATTATTGTTTTAATGACTGGTTTCCTTTGCTTCCAGTGGGCAGTTTTGGGTCTGCCTAGAGTCTGCCTTCCATTAAATTCCTCAGGAAAAACCTCTGATTGGTCTGGCTGGGAATGAATAACCCCCCAGGCTACTGGCAGCATTGGGGTGGCCATGGGGTGGCCGCATCCTACAGGAAGATGCCCTACAATGACTGACATTCCTGACGCATTTTCAACAAGGCCCTGCATTTCTGTATCCCACATCAACCACTGACCAGCCCTCGCTCATCCCAGGCCCTCCTTCTCCCCTTCCCACATTACATCAGTGCCTAGCTGTCATGATGTGGCAGGGGAGGCTGGGTTCCCCTGAGGATAGTTGGGAAACTATCCTTTGCCAGGCTGGTGCCAGATTCCAACAGGTGGCATGTGTGAAGTTGCCCCCCACCACTCCCCTCCCATGTGCCAACTAAGGGGTAGTAGAGGGAGGGAGGAAGGTATTAAGAATTGCAAAACCATGGCCAGGGTACCCATATCTCAGGCCTGTAATCCTAGCTACTCAGGGGGCTGAAATCAAGGGATTGTGATTCAAAGCCAGCCTGGGTAGGAAAGTCTGTGAGACTCTCCAGAAGTGGAGCTGTGGCTCAAGCGGTAGAGCACCCGCCTTGAGTGAAAAAGTCTAGGGGACAGTGCCCAGGCCTTAAGCCTACCAGCCAAATTTTTTTTTTTGCAAAATGAGATTCCTCATTTTGAGTTGTGGGGCTTGAACTCAGGGCCTGGCCCTGAGCTCTTTTGCTCAAGGCTAGTGCTCTACCACTTTGAGCCACAGCTCCATTTCTAGTTTTTGAGTGGTTAATTGAAGATGAGAGTCTCATTGACTTTCCTGTCTGTGTTGGCTTTGAACCATGATCCTTAGATCTTAGCCTCCTGAGTAGCTAGGATTATAGACCTGAGCTACTAGCACTTGCTGCCTCCTGCCTTTTAATTTAACTAAATGAAGCCTCTGTGTTGAAGAGCCCCACACAGGTCCTGTCACAAAGGAAGAGCTCATTGAGTTGTGTCGTGCACACCCTGTAAGGGCAGTCCAGGTAGCCAGCACCCAGCCCTCAGTGCTGTGCTAGTCCAACTTGTAAGTATAGGAAAATCTGAGGAGGCTTCCTCAGGTGGAGTTCTGGGTCATGTCCAAAGCCGCTGGGTGTCCTGAGAGTTCCAACCCCATTGGGGAAGTAGCCATGACAGGCTACTTCCCGTCCTGCATCCAACATCAGTGATGTGAGCATCACACAGGTCACCTCTGAAAAGAACAAGATGAATGCCCAGAAGAGGGCTGTCAGGGTAGAGGGACAGGCTGGTCAAGAAGGAGAAAGTAAGCCAGGTGCAGCAGCTCACACCTGTAATCTCAGCTACTTGAGAGGTAAAGTAGGGGGATCATCGTTGGAGGCTGTCCTAGCAAAGTGTGTATAGTCCCTACCTGAGAAACAAACTGAAAGCCAGCAAAATGGCTGGTGTGTGTGTGTGTGTGTGTGTGTGTGTGTGTGTGTGTGTGAGAGAGAGAGAGAGAGAGAGAAAGAGAGAGAGAGAGAGAGAGAGAGAGAGAGAGAGAGAGAGAGAGAGAGAGAGAGAGAAATAGAGTATAAGCTTGAGGCCCTGGGTTCAATTACCAGAACCACAAAAAGAAACAAGTATAAGGGAATTGGAGCCATTCAGATTTGCATTTGAATCTCAGCTCCGTCCCTTCTTAGCCTAAGGGCAGTTTTATCCTCTAGAGCCCCAGTTTGAAAACTCCAGCCTGGCGCAAATCCCCAGTGCAATGTAGCCACGCCCATTTCCTGCAGGCAAATCCCCAGCCTGGAAGGTAGCCACGCCCATCAGTACTGTGCTTGGGAGCTACTTTGGGTCTGGGACTTCCTGCTCTGGAAACCCTTGTAGTTGTAGAACTCCTCTCCATGAGGTTTGGGGTTAGTAAAGGAAGTGATACTTGTAAGGCTCTTAGGAAATACTT